TGTGTGTGTGTGTGTGTGTGTGTGTGTGTGTGTGTGTGTGTGTGTGTGTGACGTATAGAGAGAAGCTAGTCCATTGGAAATAAATGTTGAACGATGATATCTGTAAATGACTTTGCCTGTTATATAGCGACCAATCCAGTCAGTCTGTGAGGACCTGAGGTTAATGGGCTCTTTGGTTTTACACTCATAGATACTACAGCACCTATGTTATGTTATGTTATGTTACTTTAGTGAGGCTGAATCTCTTTCAGGCTTCTGTCAGCCTAACTGAAGAAAACTGAGTGAGTCCTTGGGCCAAAAATGGTCCCTAGGTGAATGTTCAAACAAGTATATGGGAATCCCGAGCATAAATTTAGATACACGTGTGTTCCCTGGACCTCTGGCTGTAGTTGCTGTCCATGGTGCTGATCATATAATATTAATAATATATTATTTTCAGCCTTACACACTGTTCTCTCAAAAATCTCAAAAATAAATCTCGTTGTATAGAAGTCATCAGAAACGAGCCCTAGTTCTCTCTTGATTTGTGATTTATGCGGAGACTGAGTTGATGCACCATATGAGCAGCATTGGTTTGCCTCACTCATAATGTCTGATATAAAAGAATTAAGGCTGCAAAGATTTTATTGTGTAACTTAAATAGAATTAAATGACTCATTAGGGGCTGAATAAAGAATACAAGGTGACTAGTTTAATGAATCAAAGGGTTTTTTTCTAGTACTTTCTCATTCACTGCCTGTGTATTCCCTATAACCCTTATTCCTTTCCACCACTGAGGTCCTCGTGACAGGGCCAAGTAATATCTGATCTGAATTTAAAAACAACCTGCTGCCGCTGCCAAAAGTGACATATTCACTTAAAGGAGCAAATCTGGTGGAGTCTTAGAGGAAATTTTTCTCTAACAGGTTGATTAATATCGGTCTCAGTGAATTTACCATTTTGATTATGTAGGAGTAAAAATGTCAGTTTCTATTTGCATTTCAAACCAGATTCTGTCCTTGGGATGGGAACACAGAGATTTACTGCATTTTAAAATCTCCCAAGTGTTATTTGAACAGCTCAAGGTTATTCAGTTTGACCTCACAGCTGTGGAGCCACTTTGGCTGAATTTGGGTGTGATTTTAAGCAGAAATGTAAAAAAATAAAAATAAAATTGGCTTCTGGAAAAGTACCGCATTCTGTGTAACTGTAAGCACATGTAATAATTTGAAGAGCAGTGCCATATGTCTATGTATTAGCACAATCTTGGATTATTCCTAATGACACATTGATCCATGTCCATCAGGGAATTGGATTTGTAGATAGATGATGTTTTCAGGTTCTTTCTTACCAATGCTTTACCAGTTTTTTAACTCTAAACCTGTGTCAGCTTTGACAATTACATTCATACTCTTCTGCACCACCCAAGCAAATGTGCTCTGTCTCTGAGGGTGGCAAACGTGATGCCAACAGGTACTTTTCATGGATGTTGTGTTTGTCAAAGCTGAGGAAAGGAGAAAACTCATCAAGAGCACCTTTTTGTCTCTGTGTGCCAGTGAAAACAAACAATTTTCAATCAAAATGAGGCACTTTAGGCTTCCATGTCTCAGCAGGGCCAGATTCATTACAACTCCAGCACAAGACTTCTTACAGAGACTCTAACCGTTCACACCGAGAGCTGCTGAATCTTCTGTCTGCGCATTCTTAAACAAGTGCTCATTTTTGACAGAATTACTGAGCGAGCACAAAGCAAAGAGGAAAGGTAATCAGTTTGCAAATCAAGATGCACGGCCTGGCATGAATCAATGTGTGAGAGCAGAGCGAGTTCAAAGAGCAGCAAGGGAAACACTTAAACTGGTGTCCATCCACGAGAGCACGCTACAGATAAAGTTTCCCATTTATTAGAGGAAACTTCAGTATACTCAGAGGTACACACTCTCTCTGCATACTTCCACCAGTATGCTTAGTGGAAATGCAATGTGCACTACCATAGGACACTCTATAAAGTAACAGACTACTCTTTAATGGCTGTAACCTTGTAATGCATTGAGTTACATCCAGGTCACCACTAATCTAGGTACTGTTAGGGGTGGGTTTGGTTTAAGGAACATGCAAATTAAATTTTTCATGAAAATTGCTCAGGGTAAGGCTTAAAATTGGTATCATCACTGGACACAAGCTCGATCTTAGAGGGTTACAGGGTTACATACAGGCAAAAACGGGGTTACCTGATCTTAGCCCTAAACGTGTCATCAGTGACTTGGTGGATGTAAAGAGGTTACATGTAACAATAATCAGAATTCATTGTTTACTCTGTTCACCTCTTTAAAACTATTATTATTGTACAGAAATGTGGTCTAAGCAGCTTGAAAGAAAGTGACTGGACTTCATTAGATAAATGCTTTTGCAAATTTCTAGTTTCAAAGCAGATTTTTTTTAATCACGTGACACACTTTTATGAGGCCATTTGCAGGATTTCGACTTGTTTTAAGACTATCATCATTCCCTTAGCACAGACATTAGACACCGCTGTCTTACCAGAGACTTTCAAACAAGCCAACAAACCTCCTACATCTGGTTGTTTTTTCCCAGAATTCTCTGGGATGTTAAATTGTGACACCATGTTAGCATTAGACTATTTCTGGCTGTTCATCATACAGATGAAGCCATTAGACTTTTCTGTCACAGAACTGTTTCCTGACAGTTTTTTAAACGATTTTTTTTAAGTTGCTGGGCTCCACACAAGTGATAGATTTCCCCTTCTTTATTACCCTCTTCACAATCAGTCAGGGCCTTTAATGTGTCGTGTTTTCATAATCTCAGGATCTACCGTGTACGTGTCTTTGAAATCATGTCTCTGACTGAGAGGGTTGTACAATTTAAAGCACTTTGAGACGACTGTTGCTGTTAGGACATTGGTGCTATATAAATAAAACGGAAATGAAACTTTTATTTTTAAATCACTAATATAATAAATTAGCATTTGTTTCATAACTCCCTTGTTGTCTTTTATATGTTCAAGAAATAATGTGTGGCTGTCACAAACCTGAATTTGATCAGCACATTATCTGAGAGCTACTGGTATAACGCTGTGAGGTAAAAATGTAAAACACTTTAAAAAAAACTTAGAAAAGATAAAAAAGATAAAAAGATAAAAACTACATTACATTTATTGGGTTCAGAGATCTCATCGTTCTCATTTTACTAAATCACATTTACTATATTCATGTACACTAAAGTATTCAGTTTTACATTACTCAAGGTTAATGTCACGGCCAGGCGGATCAGCTGCAGGCTGATCAGCTCTCTCTCTCTCACCGGGGCGGAACTCATTGTGGGTTCACGCCCTCGGCCCACGCCCTCGACAGATGAGACACCTGGGTCTCATTAAGACGATCAGCATTTAAATCAGGAGGCGACTGCTGTTCATCGCTGGATCGTTGTCTACCACGCGTTAGTGAAGTCAAGCTGCAGCAAGTTTAGTTAAGAGTGTTTTCCTCTGTGCGTCGTTCTTAACCCTGTCTCCCTGTCTACAGAGCTTCCTGGATTTTTCCCCGTGTGATTCCCGTGTGGCAGTGTCGGAGTGTGAGCCTGTGATCGTGTGTGTGGATGATCTGAAGAATGCGTGCTTTCCCCCTGGACTTCCCTGGAGACCCCTTCTTCCCTCACTCAGCTGTATATAGCACCCCCCGCACCTTCTTGTATATACACCTGGTGAATTGTAAATAAATCCTTCTTGTGAGCATCAGAACCGGAGTCCTGCGCTTGAGTCCTCCTCCAAACCGTAACAGTGAAACTGAAAAGCCTTTAGAGATGTTTTAATGGGTAACTGGGGGACCAAAGACTCACTATTTAAATAGTGCATCTTTGATCAAAACGCAACTGAAATTTCCTTTATGGACTGAATGACAATGAAATGATTTCTGAACACAAAAGTTAAAAAAAAACAGAGAGAAGAGAAGGTCAAATATCCAGGGAACAGACAAAAAATTATATTAACAATTGTTTAAAAAAATTACATTTTTAAAATAGCTTTGTTTAATGTTAACTTTACAAATCAAACTGGAAGAAGTGGGAACTCTGTGACTCAGATTGGATTGGTTTGGGTGTTTTAAACTGGTGATCTGCATTTTCACCACAGAAAGGTTTCTCAGAATCCACAACACATCCACCCTTAAAGCCAGATGGCACTACAACAGCAGATGACCACTCTGGATTCCACTCTGGGTGTCCTGTCAGCCAAGAACACAACTCTGAGACTTCAGTGGGCACAGGCTCACCAGAACTAGACAGTTTAAGATTGAAAAAATGTGGTCTGGTCTGCAGATGGCCAGTCCAAAATTTGGCATTTGCAGCATGAATACATGGATTCAACCTGCCCTGTGTCAACAGTCCAGGCTGCTGCTGTTGGTGTTGTAAATTGTGTAGGGAATGTCGTCTTTCCAATCAATTATGTTTATCACGCCATAACTGAGTATATCTGCTGACCACGTGTGTCCAAAATAAATTGTGTCACAAAGCAAAGTTTGTTTCATAAATATTGAAACTGGTGTAGTGGACTTCAGTGACTTTCACAGTTACCAGATCCTGAATCCTGTAAGACCTTGAGGCTGTTCAAGAGCAGTGTGCTAGCATAAATGTCATAGGATCTCAGAAGAACGTGTCCAAAATCTTGTTGCCATTTATGGTTTTGCATGTGGATAGTTGACACTAGATAAACCGAATCTGGCACTACGGTAGTCCCCTTTTTATTGCTTTTGTAGAAGAGTAGAAGAGTGACCTCTTATAAATTAGAGGATAAGTCGGCTAATGCTAGCTAGCTTGGTTAACAAGCTGCATTCATAAAGTACACATATCTGGTAATTAGTGCTACGTAACATTCAGTTTTCATGGTAAATGGCCTGTATTTGTATAGCGCTTTATTAGTCCCTAAGGCCCCCAAAGCGCTTTACACATCCAGCCATCCACCCATTCACACACAGGTGATGGTAAGCTACATTGTAGCCACAGCCACCCTGGGGCTGCCGGACACTGGCGCCACCGGGCCCTCTGACCACCACCAGTAGGCAACGGGTGAAGTGTCTTGCCCAAGGACAAGACGACTGAGACTGTCCAAGCCGGGGCTCGAACCGGCAACCTTCCAATTAGAATGCGAACTCCCAACTCTTGATCCACGATCGCCACTGTACTAGACTTTTTCAATGGTCTCTTAGTACAAAACCCATTGTCTTCTCTTCTAATTTACCATATGAGGTGAATCGTCCAGGTTTTCAATGTGCCCCGCATGTTAGGTCAATGCTTTCTGTTCAATCTGATGGTAGCTGTTTTCTAATGAAGACCTAATAAAATGTTAAATTACCATGGAAATCAGCATGACTGCACAACAAGTCATGTTTTAATGCACAAAATCAGTTAAAATACTGCATAAGGCTCAAACAATACAAAACTGTCTAGTAGTCAAGTTCAGTGCCAAAAAGACTATGTTGATATCCATTCAAGGCCCTAACAATGGAAACTTTAATACAACTTAAGACGGTGAATTAATTTAAATTATTTTTTTTTTTAAATTGCCCTCTTTTCAGTTGTTATCAAGAGGAAATGCAGCAAAGTGCATTTATGTTATATTCATGCTTTTTGCTATAAGGTCAAGCGTTTTAACAGTGAAGTCCAGGGTTATTCACTCACTGTGGTGCCGATCTGTATGGGTCATTAGAGAAATTCCAGCTTTTGGCACGAACATATTGCCCCCCTTGATGTTACTACAATTTTGAGCACTCAAATCCTTTTCAGACTGATTGTTCTCTGTTGATTGTTCTCTGCTGTCCGAACACAGAAGTGAAAGACAGCTGAGCTTACATGGGATTTCTTCCTCAGATGCAGCTCACAGCAGGAAGACTGACTTCCAGCTGGTTGCCATGGCAGCAGTTTAACAGGCAACAGTGGTGGTCATCATGACGGGATGACACAGTGGATATTTATAAAGTCTAATTAGCTCAGCGTGGCTCTCGCCGTCCAACAGCCCTGACCTAAATCCTGTCAGATCAGTGAAGTCATGTTCCATGCTGAGAGATGCAGCCGGGTCGAAACCTCCGAGGCTGACATCACCTGCCCTTCCCTGCCGGAGCTGTCCGTCCGGACGAACAGGTGAAGCCAGCGTGAAGGTAATCACCTCAGACAAACAAGCAGGAGGGAGGACACTGACAAACTGACATTGTAGTAAGGAAAAACCAGACCAGACTGAGAGAGAGCAGTGCAAGGTTAAAGGTCAAACAAGCCGCTGTGTGTAGAAACTATCTGCAGCGCAGAGAATGAGTGTCTAGGCATCATATCGTCTTAAAGGACAGACTAGAAGGACAGACTGTGCTAAAAGTAAAGAATCAGAATAACCTTCAGTTCTTAAATCACCTCAAAGAAGTAGAATTTTATATAACAAAAATTCCCAAACAACAGACACACAGATGGCAGGAATAAAGACGGCAAACAAGAACGAAACAGGCGCTGATCCGACTGGTGAAAAGGAACTGGGAATCTCTCAACATTCATCACAAACATCCAAACAATCTGCAGCATTAACAGATGGTAAAAACGAACAGATGTCTGCAACTGATCACCTCCTGCATTTTACTTTCATTTGTCTTATGGACGAGCTGAAGAAGATATTCCTCTACAAGAGCGACATTTTATAATCAGCTCTGAAATTTCAGCTCAAAGAGAGCCTGATGGGTATAAAACATGAGGCAGGTTAGTTCCCTTCGGGGTCAGCCCTAGGGAAAAGTCACACAAAGTCCTTTTTCTTTCCCCCACTGCGACTTGATTGAGTTCAAATCCTGGATTACAAAGCTTAAGAGACAAAGGACGGGTCAGGATGATTTGATTTGTTGGCCTCTGCGGACGCATTAAAAACCTGCGATCAGGCAGAAAGAAATGAGCAGTGGCGGTGCGCTGGACAGACTGAGAAGGATTACATGGCCTGAACATACGTGACCAAAGAGCCAGCAGTGCTTTAATCTGTAGAATAATGGATATGGAGGGGAAAGGAGGGGTTATAAAAGAATTAGAGACAGAAGAGAATGATATGTATCGGAATTTTATAGAACTGCTCGCTAAAATCTACAGCAGACATAAATAATGTACACTGGATATGATGGCATTTATGGTGGCTGGTGGTTAGTCTTCAGAAACTTCCTTGTCTGTTCAGGATGAAGTCAAATCCCCAAAAAGTACCAAACACCTCCTGCAGACTTTTGTAATTCCCACACATTCTCATAAGCTTGATTACATGTCCAGAGTCTTGGAGACAATGCACCTTTGAATTTAAGATATTTTATATGTTTTGCTGTATTTAAAATGCTGTAAGATTTCATAATATTACTAATGAAGTAGGTAGGGTAAGACTGTTTGACTTTTCTCCAAAGAAACCCCAAAGTGTGTCTTGGACTCCTTCCGCTGTACATATTGTGCGACAGATGTAGAACATAAGACAATAACAGGTTGGTGGAAAGTTTGTGTCCTGGCCCAGGGTCAAGATTTTCTGTCTAACCCCATCATTACCAAATAATGTTGTTTTGTCAAACCTTCTGGCATGTGAGTAACCTGCAAGGTGTTTTTCATCACAAGGTCCAGAAAACCAGTTCATGGTATCGATGAGACCAGGGCATTTACTCTCAACTTAGAGGTCAATGTTGCAAACATGCACATTTTTATCCAAACCAAAGTGTTTCAAAGGTCCAAAAAGAAGGTAGCTGATAAACCTGGGTCAGCAGACAATATAGATGTAGTCTGTACAATAAATCAAGAAAAGACATACAGTGAGATGTAAGGTCTGACACCACGGGATGAGAACACCATATGCTAATTTTAGGCTCATTCACGGTGTTTTGTAATACGATCTGTTTGTCAATTATCACGAGCTCTTAAAGGAAATTGTAAGATGCTAATCCATGTTTTCCCAACCTTATACCTCTCACAAAAGTTTAGCCGAATTTCCTCTTCTAAAAGGTCTCACTTGATTTTCTTGTGTTTGTAGGCAGAATTACTCCAAAAGTCATACACTGAATTACATGAAAATGTTACCAGAGATGAGGCTTTTGGAGTTCATCTGGATCAAAAAATGTTTGGAAGGATTATTTATCAGTTGGAGACATAGAAAGAACTGGAGATATGTTCTGACTATTGTCTAGAAAAGAAACGCAAAGAAACAAAACGTACCACTGAAACAAAAGCATCTACTGAAGGAAGAAAGCATTGAGGCAAGTAAGAAAATAAGTAAAAAGGCAAGTAAAAAATGTAGCTTCTAGGTCTCTACCTATGTCCTGGATACGAAACCTTTAGTATGACCATATGTTATCCGTGTAGATGCTGACACACTTTTCAACTTAAAGACTTTAAGTTAAACTTTAACCTCACTTACTTACTGTTTTGTTTATTGCCTATTAGTTTGTTTCAAGCGTTATTCATCCCTCGGCTCCCTCCAACTCCCCATGATACTTCAAATTAAATTGAAGCTATTTTTATGCTAAAAACACTTTCCAGGACACTGTGCTTTCATCCAGCAAGCCACAAAGAGACAACTCAAAAATATCTGAGAGCCAGGGGCACTTCTGGCAGTTTGTCCGTTCTGACAGTGTTCTGGTCTTGGCTGCACTGGCAGACATATTGACACGCTTAAATCCTCCCTCTGTATTAGTGAAGACTTCCCTCTCTACAGGAGCCCCGTGACCCCGCCCCCTCTATCGCTCCGCTCTTTCT